TACTGCTATTATCATAGTTAATAACACTAAACCATAAGTGTTGTTGCCATTGCACTTTTTTGATGAAAAATCTAGGTTGTTTTCTCAGACTTATATTATATTATATTATTTTGGAGTGTGTATGTGATGTGTTGGTTGTCTGTTTGTTTGTTTGTACGGACATACTGCAAATCGATTTCCCGTTAGGGACAATAAAGTTACCAATAACCAATAACAGCCATCCCATTCTGCTCGCGTTCCAAGACCATAAAAGATGGGGCCGTTCTTGGGGCTGGCCGGTTATTCACGCCGGTTAGTAAATGCATCGAGTTGATGTCATGTCATCAGCTGATTTACATTAACAAGGAGTGAAACAGGTATAGGCAAACTTGGTGAAGCCAAGTTTGTTTTTCCTCAGCTGCTGTGAGGTCACATATCATCAACAAGGCATTTTCACCAAAGAACCACCACTGACTGAAATAATGTCTCTGTTTTTGGCTGTTCTCTGTAAATATTTCTATGTGATGCTGATGTTCTGTCATTACAGACCAAAATCTCTGAGGAATCTTTCCACCATCTTGTTGGATCATGAAGAATTCGGTCTGAGGGCAAAATAGGTTCTAACCTGGTACTAGCAAGGTGCACCTGAGTGCTGCAGTATGTGAAACTCCATGAATGCAGGTTCTTGTTTCAATGCAAATTTTTATAGAATATAATCACTTTTCTTCATGCATCTCCTTTGTGTCCAACAGCATTAGAATGAAAAGACTGCAAACATAAAACAATACACATAAGCTGTGAAATTACCCTACGCTGTGATAACTCCCGTTTTTATAAAGATGCACTCAAGGCAGATTATTTTGTAATCATCAAAATGATTTTTGTTGTTGTTTGATTTGATTTTAACTTGACGACTGACAAGTTTGGCTTTAAAATCTATAAACAAGAAATATTTCAATCATCCAACTTTGAGATTCTGGAAATTGTCTTTGGTGGTGAATCTAAAGAATTGATACTTTTTCCATCGTATAGATCTCTTGTACAGAATGTATCCAGTCTTCTATTGTTGGTGGTTCAGGCTTAAGCCATCTTCTCGTAAGAGGCTTTTTACTTGCGGCCAGAAGGATATACAGGAGTCTTCTGTCGTTGGAATTCAGTTTATCCACTGGTACATTGCACGAAAATATGGTCTCAAAAGTTGAAGGAAAAACAAATGAAAAAACATTTTGTAAATGATCATGGATTAGAGACCAATACTGG